TATCGTATGTAATCGTATCGTATGTATCGTTGTATGTATGTATCGTGTATATGTATGTATGTGTGTGTGTATTATGTATGTATGTATGTACTGTATGTATGTATATATGTATGTATGTATGTATGTATGTATGTAAGTATGTAAGTATGTATGTATGTATGTATGTATGTATGTATGTATGTATGTATGTATGTATGTATGTATGTATGTATGTATGTATGTATGTATATATATATATATATATATATATATATATATATATATATATATATATATATATATATCATTCTTTTAGGCACGTTCCCTGTTCCTGATATACAACCTCAATAGATGTTTAAGTGAGTTCCGCTAGCCTGTAAGCTTTACTATGGTTCATACGTCGTTTTGTATTGAATGGTTTGTTTTCACGTTTCTGTAATTTGGCATGCTCATGATTATTCGGGGTTTAAGAATTAGTCTGATGAGTTCTTCACCTTCAACTTTTTAGGTTTGTAGTGTACTGCAATACCCTTAGATAACGTCGTGCCTCCTCTCAAATTTTTGCTCACACTAGTTTTAAAATGGCGTCGTTCCACTTTCTGCTGTCGCGGGGCGTCGAATCTCATTGCAACAGATAGTTGTTAGACATGATAACATATTGTCGAGACTAGCCCCTCATCAAAGTCTGCGTCCCTTGTTGAAACCTTCGACCGCGACAACTCTCAAACCGGAACTCTCCGAAACATTGTGATCGATCACCAGGCATATGATTTTGTTGCTATCTCTCATTAATGTATATATCAGCAAAGGTTTTTAATTTGAACTTTTGTGCCAGTAGCTCAGCAGCATCGATGAGTGGCTTCCAATGCGCGAGGGACACGTGCTTTCAGTCCAGTAACCTCGCCTATAAATCTGTGATGATATTACTCGAACTAAATTAAATTTTAAATCGTAAATCCTATCGATGGTACTGATCCTTGCCCTTGGGTTACGATATCACCATGCAGCAAAAATGTAGATCAGTTACGATCCAAGACTCCAAACCTCCCAACACCACATTCAGCGATAGAAACCATGCCATCGTCATTTATATTTACATTTTGCTGCATGTTGATGTCGCAACCCAAGGGTAGGGAGAAATAATAAAACCAAATTGCATTCTTGCCATATTCCTCCCACAGTCATACAAGCCACAGTACAGCATTTACAATTATTATGTAAAACTTCCAGACTGGCCACACGCTCCAACCACATCGTTAATTCATACACTTAATTATTGTTTTATTACAGACTTGAGCGGAAAACGAGCGGACGTACTAAGAGAACGGCTAGGCTCAGAAAACACTAAACTCGTCTTCTGACAGCATAATCGGCAGTAGATGTCACCTTCCGCATGGACCGTATCCGCCGTTTTCTTATTTACATGGGGATATAAACTCAAAGAAAAGTGACGAATTTGCCAAATAGTGAAATCACAATTTTGCCCAGTCAACGTTTAAAACATTACAACAGAATATAAATTCGCTATTTGAACTCGAGTCACGAACAAACATATCTTCACATTCTCGGCGATGAAGTTGCGTTTTATGTGACCAACTATCAATAGAGCTGTCGACACTTAAGCATTACGGAAGTAACACAAAGCATTTGCATACAATCACAGTTCCAATCACAACTCGGTGTATTTATTGTGTAGTCATCTGTAGTATGAACTCATCAGTGACGTTCTGTTCCCACAAAACACGGCGGTATATTGTTGTACATATAATTTTCAAGAAAGGAAAAAGTAAACCCACTTTTCTTGCTATAATATGTCCTAATCAAACCACAAGGCTATGTTCATACCGTACTTAAAATAATCATTGGCAGCAAAACTAGTATTGTAAGTTGATTTCCTCTATCATATAATAATGTTACATTTATGTTGTTTAATGTTTTATTAGACTTTACGATACGACAATGCGACTACGGATCGCACTGTGTATCGGACAAAGTATCACACACTGGGTGGTGAATTTATAACTATCCAGAAATATTTTTGCAGAATGCTAGTTGAATTACTGTGAGTGAGTACTTGTTCTATATAGATTAAGAAGACGTAGTGTTGTGTGCAAGTACGAGTGAAGTCTGGTCTATCGACTCATGTCAAATAGTGTCGACTGCCCTTGTGAGGTGTGGGACGTGGGGAGAACAGATGAGACCAAGTATCGTCTGTTCTTCCCTTTTATACCCTTGTGGTAGAAAAGGTCAAAGGAGCCATGTGACTGGAATGACAGAAATCAAGTCATTCCAGAAAACATGATGACTCAAACATAAATAGTAAAAATTGTGTCATTTATGTTGTTGTACATTCAGCCACCGACAGGTTCCCATTGAAGAAGCTGTCGTGTAGAGTAAAGATTATTGCCCTGACGTAGGATTTCACGGATCCCTGCGTGATACCCAAAATGGCACTGATAATGCTGTGCGGCGTGTTAATTGCCAAGGTGCTAGCTACAAAACCTCTACGGGAAGAGTGTGACGCCAGTGGTGTAATCATCGTTTGCGGAATACCCGCGGCTACAAACTGGTGCTTCATCTCAGCCCAGAATTGAGTTCGTTGTGTGCTGGAGGTTTCGATATCGTCAATCTCATCCGTATCCACTGTTGACAGAATGTTGCAACGAAAGTATTGTTGTCCGAGGAAACGTAGTGCCTGGTGGAGGTGTGCCTTTAGAAAAACAAATACCTTCGGGTGAATCGGCCGTGCGTGTATAGCAAAAGTGTTTGTGCTGCGGTTGTGACGTTTGCGACCCACGAAGGTGGTAAACATCGTACTGTCGGTGTCACTGAAAACAATTTAAATTGGGCTGAAATTATTCATGGAAGCAATTCTGATACCGTCAAGGAAGAAAAAACTTTGAGAGCGCGCCAGAGTACAGATATATCTGAAAACTCAAAGACAGCCGACACCCAAGCGGCGTAAACGAGTGATGGTTCATTCATAGATGTGGCACGACCGTCGAGGATAAAATTAGACTTATAAGCCGTCTTCAACTCTCCCCGAACGCCGGTGGTCATCTCATTCGGCTGTACCGATTGTGAACGAGGCACGTTGCTCCATTTTATCATGGCAGTACTAACCGTGTGAGTCTGTAAAGGTTTCATATTTTGCTCGCACATCAAGTAGATTAAATAGCGAATAGCAGAGTCTCGTGTTGTGGGTGGATTATCACGGGAGAGGCCAATCAGTGGTGCGATTCTTCGGAAACGATTTCCCTCTGTAGTGTATTGTCGAGCAGTCCCACCTGTAATACCACCGACTGTGAACCAATTATGATATATGTTGAGATATTGAAGCTGCCTAACTTTGTGGGTCGATTAGTGCGGCGACGTATTGCCAAGGTGGCTGCTGGACGCCCAGTCGGCGTGCTGTGCTTGCTGGGTAGTGCACGTCGCCTGGTAGAAGTAGAAGTAAACGGACTGCCATGTTTCGTAGGTCCGGCTACCATGGTGCTTTCATCCATAAGAGCGCAATTAAAATTGCTTGGGAGGGTTGTACCCGGAGTTGTTGCAGTACCTGAGCTACCATCGGTTTGGGTGGTGTTTAATTCGATGGTGATAAGCATGTACTATTGCCATCGCGCCCTGGTGTGCAAGCTGATTGCAATAGTCGTTCGAAAATAAATTCTTGGGTTGTTCCTTCAAGGTCAGTGCCCACTCCGAGTAAAGGCGATGAGCAACTTCGGCGTTCAGCGTCCAGCTGTACTGTAGTAGCTTTCCGGAACATGATTCCAGCTGTACTGTCCGGGAAGACAAGCGATCGCCGTTGGCCACTTGGCTTGCAGGCGATGAATTATTGATACAAGAGTCAATAATTCTTGATTCATGAGGTAGTTGCGCGACTGTCGGCGTCGCAATGCTGCCAGTACTGTTGTTGAGTAGGCCAGCACCAGTAATGATTGCTGATGGTGCAGATATTGCTGCCGATTCCAAAAATGTAGGAGACAACGAATGATCGCTCGTAGTTCCAAGACTGCAATTGGCCACTCCGCTTTCGAGGGAGATTCCCGCGAAGCGTGTGTCCGCGTCTGATTATAGATTGTGAGCGTACCCCCGCCTCCCACTTTCGAGGAGTCCATCGTCAAGGAGTGATTGCGTGGATTTGGTAAAAATATCTGTCGTGGCTCGTGATTTGTGAGCGCATAAACTAACCTATCTAGTTTCTTGAAGGCCGATCCTGACAGACGAACTTTCGCATGCCATGGGTTGTGTTGCCGTGCTTCTGTTGTGTTTTTGGCCTTATGTAGGGGCACGCTGTTGGTACGACGAAGGTTGTCCACTGCACCAGAGCCAGATACCGTTGCCATTGCTTCAATCCTACCCAGCGCTGGTTGCTTAGGATCCTCGTCTGGGTTGTCGATGAAGCAATCGCTAGCTTGCGAGTGAAAGCTTGCAATAAGCAAAATTGGTCGTGATTGAGGTCGATATTTACGCCTAGGTGGTTGACTATCCTCACTGGGCGAAATAAGTGGATTTTTTCCAAGCTATGCGTAATCCGAGGAGGAGTACCATGGAATAGATGAAATTACGATAAATTATGATCAGTGGCTCCGGGCTCAACAGCATTAGGCCGTCGGTATAAAGAATTATTCTGATACCCTTGTCTCGTACTAGCCTCCTGAACACATCCATCAGGCAGTTCAAACAATATGGGCTGAATGTTGCCCTCATGGACAGGGCTAGATAGTCGTATAGTTGACCTGTTGAGCTGCGAATTTACCACCATATGGGATCGCGGACTTTGAGGGCGAAGAAACCATCCCGGAAATCCGTGGTCAGTATGTGGTCGGTTGGTCTGGCTGTTGTGGCGAGTAATCCAGAGTAGTCCAATTTGGGAGTCGATGATTATTACGCGAGCTCGGTCCTCTGACTTCCACATTGTGAAACTGTCGTGTACGCAAAAAAGCACGATCTGTGGTGATTTGACGCATATAGCCCTTCGCCTCTTGTCTGGCGAATTCCTTTATCGTGAACGCGTAATCCATCTCGTGATGTCGATGAAACGTTCCTGTTTGTTCGTTTAAGGCGGCCCACTTGGCTCCCACGGGATTGGAACTCCATAATGGATTCATTGTACAACCTTGCGAGGGGTGCCTGCGCCCCGCCAGGCGGATAGCTTTGCCCTGACGGACTCAAATACGGGAGGTAGAGGCTGCTGTTCAATAGGTGGGGCTAGACAGACTTCTGACAATTATTGTGTTTGGTACTTCTATTGTGTAGGTGACGTAATTGCTCGGGGATTCCTAATAGTCATCTACAGATGCTGTGCTGTCAATTACAGAAATAAACGTTCTTTTTCTTAAACGGATTCTTATTGGGTTTGAATGGACTGGAAATGCCCTTGTTCGTGTCGTTGCGTCCTCCACCTCTACCTCCACTACCTCTTCCCCGGCTGCGATCTCCGTTGGTAGTGTTGGATTGGCGAGACGCTGGCTTATCTGAACTAGAATCACGCTTAGTGTCGAGTTGACGATTGGTATTGGAAGTACCCTTGTTAAGGGTAAAATCTTGCTTCTTTTGCAGTACGGCCTCAAATACCTCGGCGCAAGCGCCGGTTATGCCATGAGCTGCGCGGTGCTTGTTCTCGACGAGAGTTGCTACCGCTGTGCGTTACATCCCGAATTTGGAAGTCAACAACGAACAAATACAGACATGGCTCACGAGAACAGCCTCAGAAGAAGTGATACGACTAGCGCGACCAGAGGAGATCGGCCGCGGTCTCATACACAACTCGTTCTTCATTCTGAAGAAGCCGAACCCCGAAACTCCGAATGGAGGGGCTCGATCGGATCCACTTAGTGGCACGCAGGGGGGATTGCATGATGTCAGGGGATATCAAGAATAGTTTCTATGCTCTGCAAGTCGAATACGCTATATTGGCAGTTCTACGACAACACTGGGAAGCTATGGTGTTATCTAGCCCTACCAATGGGAGCATTCTTCAGCCCGTGGTACTTCAATCTGCTCATGCAAGTACTGCGACGATTATGCTGGGAAGTTTGGATCCCCAAGACCAATACAGACATGGCTCACGAGAACAGCCTCAGAAGAAGTGATACGACTAGCACGACCAGAGGAGATCGGCCGCGGTCTCGTACACAACTCGTTCTTCATTCTGAAGAAGCCGAAACCCGAAACTCCGAATGGAGGGGCTCGATCGGATCCACTTAGTGGCACGCAGGGGGGATTGCATGATGTCAGGGGATATCAAAGATAGCTTCTATGCTCTGCAAGTCGAATTCGCTAGATTGGCAGTTCTACGACTACACTGGGAAGCTATGGTGTTATCTAGCCCTACCAATGGGAGCATTCTTCAGCCCGTGGTACTTCAATCTGCTCATGCAAGTACTGCGACGATTATGCTGGGAAGTTTGGATCCCCAAGACCAATGGGAGCTCACTACCGACAGTTGCCTAAACGAGTTCGGAACTGTTCTTCATCATCTAGCGACGGAGAAGACATAGGAGTGACAGAGAGAGTGGATAACAAAATACCACGATAATCCAATCGCTTTGCTGGAGAATCGAGTACTTCTGGAAGCAAGAAAGCACTGGCATCTACAATCGATAATTCCGCCGGCAGCACCAGTGATGTTTATAACAGACAGTTCTTCAGCAATGCACGCCTTACACAAACGCCAATCACGGTCGCCACGCATGACTCAGCAGCTGAAGATGTAGTAAGTCTATATCTGAACGTTCTCCCTGAGTAGTCAGGGAGACGTTGCGTCTTTATTAGATTATTGAACAATAACTAGGACTCTATGAGTCATATATTCAGACTTGAATACAAACTAGGTTTATCAGATTCTAAGATCCGATAACTATAAACTAAGTTTATCAGTTCCTATGATCTGATAAATATAGGATCTGATAATTCCGGTTAAACTAGGGTTTATCCTCCTATATGGGTATTACGACCACAAAGACCTTCACTTACTTTTGTCACATACACAAAGTGGGGTGGCCAGTGGCTCTGGCATATCTGTCAGGTCCGTTGAATCGACACGCAGATCTACTATCCCGGAAAAAGACCCTGGGCCATTGCATGTGGACGGTTCGGAGCAGAAATTTACTCCATCTATATCAAAAATGGGGAGTAACAACAGAACTGTTTCCCCGAGAGTAGTACTCCAACCTGGCATTCCACTCCAACATTTTGAACCAGCATGCATTTCACCGCGGCTGGGACAAGGAATGTTACTTAACGACCCCACCAGAGCCACTAGTGGGACAGACATTAGAAAGATTGGATGCACAACTGACCAAGGCAGTAGTAATTGTGCCAATATGGCACTCAGCAATCTGGTGGTGCAATTTGATGTCACACGCCGAGGATATGGAAATTCTCCCTCTCGGGGCAATACATATCCGACATCTATTGCCACAGCACTCAGCGAGGCACGCCCTGCATGGAGGTATGCCGCGGTCCTTTACAACCCCAAGATCTATTCCGCATAGATCTTTCGGTCACAGAAGCTCGATTGGGATCCGGTGACATCGGTGGCACGACCGCTCGACATTATCAAACGTTGATACATCTGTATCAGCGGTACGCAGATTTTTAAGGCTAAAATTACTTGAACCCACTCAATCTCCACAGCAACTCCTGGGCTTCTTTGCTGAATGGCATCCAAGGCCCCACTGATGTCGACCAGAGACAGTAAGATTCTTTGTCAAGCAGTGAAGCAATGTACAGCCCTCTTAAATCTCACACGTACGAACGACAACCAGCTCGTGGTTATTCCCACAGCACAAGCCATACAGGGATACCGCTCGGCTACGCTCGGCCATACTACAAGCTCGAAAGTCACGTGCATACTGGCAAGTACAGTAGCACTCATGGAGTTTTGTCCAATTGTACCGGTTCAAGAACGGGCTCTTGTAGTGTTCTTCTTTAACGTTGGCATTCGACAGGACTCCTTGCTCCATTTGACGGCATAAAATCGGTATATAAAAATGACCATATGAAAATCCAGTGCCCTATTAAGTGTTAATATTAAACTGTTTTATCCTAATCAAGGCACCGTTAGGATTTTGATGAGGGTAAAATACTGGCTAAAAACTTCGACTCACAAGCGTCGACCAACATAAAGGTTCAAGGGATAATTAACCTCAGTCGTGTCCACAACTAGTGAAGCAAAGGCATTAAAACGACCATTGGCTTCGCCAGTATCGCTAATTCCTCAAGCACTACCGACTAGGTCGCAAGTTCTCAGTCTCTTCAATCTACCTTCAATCCTAATATTGATCAGAGTATAGTCAGATAATTATGAGTACAAACGATGTATAAATAATTCAAAGTTGCCAGTCAAAATCGCAATACAGGGTAGCCAAAATGGCAGCGGAAGAAATCAAGGTTTTCGAACAAGCCGGTTTGTCCAACGTTTATATTTGCCCTTGACACCGGAAAACCGTGACAACAGTTCTAATTCGAATTGTACCGGCAATCTCAATCGGGACCCTAACCGCCAGAATATGAAGTATGACAAAACAAAATTATGGCAATCAAACCAACTCTATCGAATGTTTTTACAAGAAGAACATCCATGAGATAACATTTTACAGAATTAAACGATCTTACGCCACTGCACAGTATCTCGTAATCGATAAAAAAAAAGAAGGTATTTATATCTATTTAGAACTAGGAATGCTCATTGGCCCCTTTACCAGGCAGCATTTTATTTAAAGTTTTGAGATGAATTCTGGGGGAATATTATTAATAAAAAAACCCCCCAAATCAATAAAAATAAAAATATTTATGAAAAAGGGGTCTTGTCGGTGTCGCTATCTAAAACTGTCAGCAGACCATTTCTGTTCTTTTAAAAGGTATTACACGCTTTGGGCGGCAGGAATTTTGAATACTTACGTACCCATATCTCCCAAGTTTGTTCAAAGGTCACACTATTTGAACAGCAAAACGAGCGCACACCTTCACAGATGCGTGTCCAATAGTTTAGCTCCTATTCATATTTATTAATTTAGCGGCGACTGATTGCCGGCACTACCTCATGTCCAGTTCTGAGAGCGACAACATGACCCTCTCCTGTTCAATATCGCTAGCCGGTGATTTAGCACTCCTTCGGCCTACCCTCCCACGACTCCCATAGTCCTCCGCGGCGTAGCTGCCACTGCGCACACGCGCACCATTCTCATCGTACTCGTTATATCTGCCCATATTCGCACTCTTGGGGCCGTCCGCGTACAGCAGATTAACACCCCTATGTCCCTTTGAACGTGTTGTATTCCCGTTAATATGCACACTCTCATACATCGCACTACCACTCTTGGCACTATGGCTATTCAGATGCATGGTATTCCCTCCCGTGTGGCCACTAGACGGCATCAGAGGCGACCCATATTGTGAGGTGTCTGTGGCATTGGCATCGAGTTCGATAAGATTATCGGCAGTGGTCCTTAGTACCGATACGTCTAGCTCTGTTTGCACAGCCGACACCAGGCTCACCGTGTTGCTGAGAACGTCCCGCAGTCCGTCGAATAGCTGTGTGTTTATTGGTCACATGAGGAAGTGCAAGCCGGTCAATAGATACACCAAGAACTTTTCAATTGGTAAAGTGAGAAAGTGCACGCAGGTCATAACACTAAGTACTCTATATATACGCTCGATTATGTTGGTCATATGCTGACAGCGGAGTGATTCAAACCCCGTGGCTTGTGATGCCTAACAAGGTTCTCCGAAGGAAATACACAACCAACCGTTAACTATTTACAAGACCGTTTTCAGAGCAAGCGAACATGCACTAATACACAGGACAAGCATATATTGCAGAAGCAATCAGTATGCGTTATCGACAGCGCCAGCATTATGTGTGAACATGCATACATATATCCATAAAAAATCATGAAAATTGTGCACGTGTTGAAGCAGTATCCCAGCCGCATTCCAATTGTAAAAGACAATAAAAGTTCAGTGCCTCCAGACATTTGAGTACTCTGGCCAAACAAGCCCACACTGTTGCAACTATCACAACACACACACACACGGACACAACTGTAAACAGCCAGGGCTAACACTACAGACATTCATACTCCATGCGTACAAACTACTAATACATGAGAGGTACTACAGCTGCCAACCCAAACTTAAACGGAAGTCAACATCACGCAGAAGTACCTCAGCTGTCTTCTCCTGCCAGGCAATGCTGTGCGCCACTTCGGCCCGTTTGAGCACTCCAGCTCTTTTGAACCGCACTGCTGCGACCACCACAGCCAACACTCGTCTCCAACGCCCACGCGCTGTCTGTCGTAAGAACGGTCTGTGTAGGATGCAAGTGAAACAGCCATGCGTGAGTTGATGGAGTTATATACATATACATATATATATATATATATATATATATAAGCATATGCATAAGCCAATGTATGTACAAACATACGGATACGGATACGTATCCATACATAAATACATATTCATATATATACAATTATAAATATAACAGCACAGACGCGTGGACGGGCTTAGTCTTCCTCGCAGGAACGATCTGTGCAGAAGTAAACCTCGTTGTTCTAAACGAAACCTGTCCTTAATCGGTTGGCTGTGGAGACGTAGTAGTTGTGTTGCAGAATGTGTAGCAGCACTGGGCTCACTCTCACAGATGCACTGCATCCTCGTCTGCAAACGTGCATGCATTCATAGCTCTACCTGCAGATGTACCGCAAACGGGCATACATACGTACACATTTGGATACAAACAGAGGTTTATACAAGCATCAGTGGATCTGACAGCGCTCCCACAAACGCTATATCGACGCACCTGATATACATTGAACCCAGGGTTTGCGCGCTGGTGACGGCCAGGAAGTCCTTCTGGAAGGTAAGCGCTTTTAACTTCTTAGCCATCTGATTGGACAGTTGTTTAAACGACGCGTCTCCCGTGATCTGATTGGCGTGTTCCTTCATAGTGTTCAACCGTGTGGACAGTGATACCAAGGCGGTACCTCGTTGTTTGAGAGCATTGGCCAGTTGTGCGCTTTTGGCTTCGTACAGAGCCTTTTGCCGACGCAGTCTCCCCTGTGTGAGCGGGTGTAGTGTTGGGTTAAGTCGATTGTGGTGTTGAGTTAAGACTGAAGGACCAATGATTGGGGGTAAATAAAAGTATAGGCTGAAGACAACGGCTTAGTGTAGCGATGAGTTTAGGTAGAAGAGTAGGTATGCGTGAAAGGACAAGTGAAAGGGCGAGTGAGAGTATATGTACAGATATATGTATACGTACAATTCTATCATTCAGGGGAGTGTAAAGGTTGATTGTATAGAGTCTCACCCTCTCCTGTTGCAGAATGCGCACGTGGTTGACAGAACACTCTAACCGCGAAACGGACAATATCACACACCACTCCCAGAGAGTTATACCAACACACACATCCATACATACCTGCACATATACACAGGCATATATCACATACAACACACGCTATCTTAATGGCAAGTTGTGTACCCATTCTGAGGGGCGTTCTTTCCTATCTAACATACCTTGAGCGTGCGTGTGATTTGTTGCTGGTCGTGTGTAATCTGCTGCAGGTGCAGTCTTTCTTTGAGCCACGTCTCTCTCTCTTCGTGCAGAATGCGCACGTGGTCATTGAGCGACGCCCGCGTCTTTTCAAGATCACGTCTGTCCTCTTTCGCGCGTACATGTTCATCCTCAAGCTGCGATATGAATGCATACAAATAGGGGTATATGAGTATGTATTTAGACATGCATGTATGTATGCGCATATATATATATATATATATATATATATATACATCTATACTTAAATACACGTATGAGAGTCACGGTAACCAAGAGTACTAAATACGGGTTCACTCTGTGGCGCAATGCACAGCTAAGTGTTCTGGGTATCAACCAAACCAGCAGAGCCCACAGATGAATCCGAGCACGCCTCTACTCTAACATCCTCATTACATTGCCCACTACTACACATATGACTACAATACACTATACCATACACGTACCTTCTTCGTACATTAACTACATACATATATCTACATAAGAAACCCAATACACGCGCTTTCTTCATACTCTCACATCACACACATGACAAAATAAGAACCCAATGCACGTACCTTCTCCATACTCTTCACGACATAAATATGTTTCTATACGAACCCAATGCATGTACCTTTTTCATACTCCTCATTCCACACATATGACTAAACGAACCCAATGCATGTACCTTCTTCATACTCTTCAATACACACATATGACTATACGAACCCAACGCATGTACCTTCTTCATACTCTTCACTACACACATATGACTATACGAACCCAACGCATGTACCTTCTTCATGCTCTTCACTACACACATATGACTATACGAATTCAATGGATGTACCATCTTCATACTCTTCACTACAACCATATCACTATACGAACCCAATGCATGTACCTTCTTCATACTCTTCACTACACACGACTATACGAACCCAATGCTTGTACCTTCTTCGTACATCTCTTCTTGAAGACTTTAGCCTTGTTTTCCATCACTCGCAGTTTATCGTTGCACTGCGTTTCAAGATCCGCCAGTCGACGCATCTCTTGGTTAAGGATGACGTTCTGTGTGTAAGCGATGTATATGTATGTGCATATGCATAATATATATATTTTTTTTTTATTTAATATAATATAATATATATATATATATATATATATATATATATATATATATATACATACATATACATATCTATATCTATATATAATATAAACTTGCATGAGGATGTCTGTCTGTATGCGTGCAGGGAGAGAAGCAGCGTTACTAAGGATCTATTCGAAATGCTCAGTCATTCGGTAGTTGCACAATCAATAAAGGTCTCACAAGGAAGTGCAAGCTCAGGTATCTTATAACAAGACACGGTACCTATACATTCATATATCTTCAGAGCAGGTTGATAATCTCGCAGAGTGATAGCACGTTAATTCTGATTAGTTGATAGTGTGGTATAAAGTTGATAGTGTGGTATAAAGTTGATAGTGTCGTATAATAGCATGCAAATGTGCGCTATCCTTAGCCCAAACGAGGCACACATCAGTACTCAACGTAATGCCTTATGCTCAACGCATTTACGAGTACGGGTATTGGTCAGCGCGTTCTGATTATACCATCGAGTGACTTGGCTGAATGCGGTAAACGTATACGGTTTGAATCGCAAGCGGAAGTGATAGTCTATCTTACTGTCCGCTCGCTGCTACCAGTATACCATTTGATGTCCACTATACTGAAGGGTCTCAACGTTTGTAACCAGATAGTGTCCTATGTCTGAGAACACACCAGGCCAGGGTCGCATCGCGAATGCGAGTTTTGCTTGGTGTCTTATTAACAGCGTACAAACATGCGCTGGGATTATAGTAGGCGCTTAGTGTTTGAGGATATAACTATGGCTATATACATCAGTAGGAAGGATGTATGTTGTGGGTTGCTAAGGAAAGTACATACCTCGTCTTGCAGGCGCTGCACTTCCTGAGCATCGGAGAGTCTGACGTCAGTGACAGTGTCCCGAACTTCGGCTCGCGTCCGCTTGAGCACTTGGTCAAACATCGTCAACGCATCTGTCACGGAACCCTCCAGCTCCTGAAAGGTACGCGTTAAGATTATATAAAGTGAATCAGACAGTAATACCATTTAACTTACATATATATATATATATATATATATACATACATATACATATATATATTGGTACTTATACATGTTCATATACATATTCATATATATGTATACCTATACATATATATATATACATACAAAAACAAATACACATACACATACAGGTATGCGTGCAAGTGTCGGCTTCAAGGTCAAATAGTCTAAGTAAATAGCTGCATACACACGAGAGTAAGTAAGTGAATATACAATAAATATCTTCAAAACAAATTCTTCTTCTGTTTATTATGGTTTCACTTATTAGGTTGATCCAGGCCATCATGTGAACACACTCACCGTCGCCCTGCTCACTGAAGCACGCACTACCCCTTCAGCTATCTCCAACAACCCTGTACAACACACATCCATGAGCACAGACACCAGTACGAACACACCCATCCACACCTACCCACCTACGCACATACACCCACACCCACCCACCTACGCACATACAACTACACCCACCCACCTATGCACATACACCCACACCCACCCACCTACGCACATACACCCACACCTACGCACATACACCCACACCTACGCACCTACGCACATACACCCACACCTACGCACAAACACCCACACCCTCACATACCTCCAAAGCCTGCATGACCAACGCCAAGCGTGCGTGTGAGAACGGAGGTCGACCATTGGGGGCCACCGTGTGCCTGTCCTCGGCCGCACGCACAGCCCCTTCGACTGCCTTACACAGGCCCAAGGTGTGTGCAATGCTCGTCACCGCATCACCCAACACATCGCGTATATCCCCTTCCGTCGCATCCTCGAGCATCTGGGCGTGGGCCTGCGAGTGCGCCCGCACCACCAGCTTATTCCGCGCGGGTGACGGAATAAGCGCTATTTCCTCACGCTCGCGCGAGCCCGGCGGGTAGGAGTGGGCGCGGGTGTGAGAGGGGGTGTGGGATTGGTCTCTGAGTGTGTCGGTGTCGGTGTGTGTGGGTGATAGGAACACTGCGGAGGTGGATGTGGCTGCAGGTCTTTCTTTCGGGTGGGGTGTATGGTGGGTGTACAGGTGCACTTCGCTTTCTCGGGGCTTTCTCGGCCCGGTGTGTGCACCTAAATCCGGGTATTGTCCTGTTTTTCGCACATGCTGGGTAATACGTTGCACGTCTAATTGCAGTTGTTCGAGTCGTTGTACTAACTCTCGTGCTTCAGGATACTCGCCAGATAGCTCGTGGATGTTGCGGCTAAGTTGAGTGGAGGGGTCTGTATATAGATATATATATATATGTAGAATGAGCGTGTATAGGTAAACGTAGGTGAGAATATACAGATGAGGCATATACGTGTATATTTGTGTATGTATGTGTGCATGCATATACACACAATAACTCGTATATATATATATATACATACATACTTATACATACACACACACACACACACTCACTCGCTCACTCCAACAAACAAACAAACAAACAAAAAAACAGGCAAATAAACAAACAAACAAACAAACAAATAAACACACACACACACACATACTTTCATATATACATACACATATACATATACATGTACACATATACATGTATACATACACATATACATGTATACATATACATACATATAAATATATATGGATATATATATATATGGATATATATATATATATATATATATATATATATATATATATATATATATATATATATATATATATATA